TTGCTAGTATTATATTTAAAAATTTTCCATCAATATTCATTAGGGAAATTAGTCTATAATTTTTTTTTCCTGTTTTGGCTCTGTTTGCTTGGATCTCAGACAATATATGTGTCATAAAAGGAATTTGGTAGGACTCCTTTGCCCAGTTTTTTAAAAGAGTTTATATGGCATTGGGATTAATTGTTTTTTAAATATTTGGTAGAATTTGCTTGTGAATCGATCTGGTCCTGGGGATTTATTCTTAGGAAGTTCATTGATGGCTTGTTCAATTTCTTTTTCTAATATTGGGTTAAGTATTTTATTTCATCTCCTGTTAATCTGGATAATTTATATATTTGTAGATATTCATCTATTTCATTTACATTTACATTCAAATTTATTGGCATATGATTGGGCAAAATAGCTCCTAGCAATTGTCTTTATTTCCTCTTCATTGGTAGTGAATTCACCCCTTTCATTTTTGATACTAGTAATTTGGTTTTCTTCTTCTCTTTTTTAAATCAAATTAACCAAAGGTTATCTATTTCATTGTATCTTTTTTTCCCCATAAAACCAGCTTCTAGTTTTATTTATTAGTTCAATGGCTTTCTTACTTTCAATTGTATTAATCTCTCTTTTGATTTTCAGGATTTCCAATTTGGTGTTTAATTGGGGATTTTTAATTTGTTCTTTTTCTAGTTTTTTTTTTAAGTTGCATGCCCAGTTCATTGATCTACTTTTTCTTTATTTTATCGATGTAAGCAATTAGAGACATAAATTTCCCCCTGAGTCCTACTTTGGATGCATCCCATAAATTTTGGTATGTTTTCTCATTGTTGTCATTTCTTTTGATGAAATTATCAATTTTTTTCTATGCTTTGTTCTTTGACCTACTTGTTTTTCATGATTAGATTATTTAGTTTTGAATTAATTTTTAATCTCTGTTTCCATTGTCCATTACTGAATGTAATTTTTATTGCATTATTATTTTCAAATGATGTGTTTACTATTTCTGCTTTTCTGCATTTGGTTGTGAGGTTTTTATGTCCTAACATACGGTCAGTTTTTGTGTATGTGCCATGTACTGCTGAGACAAAGCTGTATTCCTTTCTATTTCCATTCAATTTTCTCGAGATTTATTTTATCTAACTTTTCCAGAATTTTATTTGCCTCCTTAACTTCTTTCCTGTTTATTTTTTGGTTAGATTCATCTAATTCTGAAAGGGGAAAGTTGAGGTCCCCTACTAGTGAAGTTTTATTATCTATTTCCTCCTGTAACTCATTCAATTTCTCTTTCAAAAATTTAGATGCTGTACCATTTGGTGGATACATGTTTATTACTGATATGACTTCATTGTCTGTGGTACCTTTCAGTAAGATATAATTTCCTTCTTTATCTCTTTCAACTAGATCTATTTTTGCTTTTGCTTTGTCTGAGATGATGATTGCTACCCCCGCTTTCTTTGCTTCAGCTGAAGCATAATAGATTCTGCTCCAGCCCCTTACCTTTACCCTGTGTGTATCTCTGTTTGAAATATGGTTCTTATAGACAACATATTTTAGGATTCTGATTTTTAATTCATTATGCTATCTGATTCCATTTTATGGGTGAGTTCATCCCATTCACATTTATAGCTATGATAGCTAAGTGTATTTTCCTCCATGCTATTTTTTACTTACTTATCCACCTCTCTCTCTTACCCCACCTTTTCCCTCCTCACAAGTGTTTTACTTCTGATCACTGCCTTCACCAATATACTCTCCCTTTTATCAGTCCCCCCTATTATCACTGTCTTTTTTTACTTCCTTATATCCAACTGTGCTTGTTATTCCCTTTTTGAGCAAATTTTGTTGAGAGTAAGGTTTAAACTTTGCCCACCACTGCCGCCTATCTTCCCCTCCATTACAGTGGCTCTTTTATGCTTTTTTTGCGTGGGACAATTTACCCCATTCAATCTCCCCCTCTTCTTCCTCCAGTGCAATTTTCTCTCTCACCTCTTTATTCTGTTTTGGGGGGTATCATGCCAGCAAAGGTACCTTATATCCACACCCTCTGTCTACACATACTCCTTCTAATTTCTCTTATCGTAATAAAATTATTGGGTTACGAATATTATTCAGTGCTGGTCTTTTAAAGTCCTTGAAAGTTCTCTATTTCATTAAATATCCATTTTTCCCCTAAAAGATTATATTCTGTTTTGTTGAGTAGCTAATTCTTGATTATAATCCTAACTCCTTTGCTTTCCTGTATATCATATTCCAAGCCCTTCACTTCTTTAATGTGGAAGGTGCCAAATCCTGTGTAATCCTGACTGTAACTCCATGATATTTGAATCATTTCTTTTTGGATGCTTTTAATACTTTCTCCTTGATCTGTGAGCTCTGGAATTTGGCTATGATATTCTTGGGAGTTTTTATTTTGGGATCTCTTTGAGGTGGTGATGGCTGGATTCTTTCAGTTTCTATTTTGCCCTCTGGTTCTAATATATCAGGGTATTTTTCTCTGATAATTTCTTGAAAGATGTTGCCCATGCTTTTTTTTTTTTTCATAGCTTTCAGGTAGTCCAAAAATTCTTATATTATCTCTCCTAGATCTATTGCCTGGGTCAGTTGTTTTTCCAAATGAGAAATTTCACATTTTCTTCTTTTTTTTAACTCTTTGATTTTGTTTTGTCATATTTTTATGTCTCATAGGGTCATTAGTTTCCACTTGTTCAATTCTTCATTTTCTTCAGTGAGCTTTTGTAATTCCTTTTCCATTTGGCCAATTCTATTTTTTTAAATAGTTATTTTCCTCAGTAAATTTTTGTATATCTTTTGCCATGCTACTAACTCTTTTCATCATTCTCTTACATTACTCTCATTTCTCTTCCCATTTTTTTTTCTACTTCTCTAATTTGCTTTTTTTTTTTTAATCCTTTTTTAAGCTCTTCCAGAAATTCTTTTGGAGCCTGAGACAAAATTACATTTTTTCTTTAAGGCTTCACATGTAGCCATTTTGACACAATCGTCCTCTTCTAAGTTTATGACTTGATCCTCCCTATCACTATAATAACTTTCTATAGCCAATCTCTTTTTTGTTTTTTTGGGGGGGCTTTTTGGCTCAATTTTTTCTGCCTTTTTTGTGACTTGGTGTTTTTATGTGAGACCAGAGAGGGCTCTGGTTCTGCACTGTCCCAAGCTTTTTGTGCTGGGGCTCTGAGTCTTACTGCTGGTTTTCCCTGGGCTTCAAGGCTTAGCTTCTGGAGGGTAGGCTTCCCTTTCTGGCTTGTACTGGGGTAGGGGGTCTCCCTGTTCGTCTCCCCTGGCTGAGGGGTTTAGCTGCGGCTTGCTCCAGGGGTAGCGCTTTGCTGCTGGGTTGCTATGGTAAGAGACTCTTTCTAGTGGCTGTCCCTGGAGGAGGGATCTTGTTACTGGCTTGCCCCAGGGGTGGGGCCTGCTTCTGAGTTGCTATGGAAACAGGGTCTTTCTGCTGGCAGGCCCCAGGGGAAGGGTCTCAATATTGGCCAGCCCCAAGATGGGGCTTTACTACTGGTCAGAAATAGGGTCAAGGCCTTGCTGGTGGTTTGTGTTGGGTCACTGGGGTGGGGACTTACTGAGATGCTCACTTGCTTAAGGGGCTGCTGGTTTGCAGGAGGGTGGGGTGTCCCTGGTGAATTGCCCCAAACTTGGAGCTTTGCTGTGGGCCTCCTGCTGTGAGGCTGGCACTGCTGCTGCCCCCAGTGAGACAGACCTCTCCTACCAGGCTGATAAGCTGCATCCCTGCTCCTAGACCAGTTCTGAGGTGGTTTTCTAGCTGTTTGGAGGGCTTCAGATGGTTCTTTCCTCATCCCACTATCTTGTCACTGGAAGTCAATAAAGAAGTTTTTAAAGATGGCTTTTTTTTTTAGTTAGCCAGTGTCTAATTTGAAAGAGACAATATCCCTGAACCTAACTAATGAGTGAGCACCAAAATTTCCCTTTCAGATAGGGATCCCAGAAAATCATGTCAGTAACCAGGACTGGCTGTCTTCAGTAACTTATGCATGGTGAGGCATCAGAAAGCTGAGAGAACATATCTATCCACAAAATCGGTGAGTGCCTATGGAGTGCTGGATAGAAATAAAAGCCATGAATCTGAAGGAGCTTATACTCTACTGTGTGTGGTAGATAGCAAGATAGACAGATCAATGACAGAGACAGTAGATAAATAGACACAGACAGATACAGAGAGTGTATGTTGTATAGGTGATAGATACATGAATATAGTTTGCTTGAAAGTTAGATACATGTATAGACAGACGGACAGAGTTTACTAGATAGATGATGGATGGACGGATGGATGAATGGAAGGACAGATGGATGGATGGATAGATGGGTGGTAAGTACAAGATAATTTGGGGAGGAAGTACTCACAAATGGGAAGATGACAGAAGGTTTCATGTAGGAGGTGGGTTTCAAACTACATCATGAAGGAGATTATGGCTTCTAAGAAGCAGAGGTGAGGAGTATATATGAGACATGGGGGGCAGCCTGTACAGAGATATAGAGACAGGAGACAATGACCTGTGTGTGAAGGCCAGTAATGCTGTCCTTGTGCCAGGCACACGTATTTAGTACATGTAGCCATGTACTAAGGAGGCACCAGATCTAAGTCCAGGGGAGATGTTCTGCCCCTACATTGTTATGGTTTTATGGTTCATTTATCCAAGCGGGATAAGACTGGGGGCCCAGATGCCCTTTGCTACTATGTTTCTCCAAGACACTATGAGAAGGTACATAAACGGTTTTGTGAAGAGGGTCCTGAGAAGGAAGAGAAGGAGGTTGCATAATGAGAAAACTGAAAAAATGAGATAAGAATTCCAAATAATCAGGGACAGATCGTCTGAGGTTTAGTAATTTTGATGCAACTCTGGTCCTAGTGGAGGAAGTCAAGAATGACTCATCCCCTTTCAGCTGGCAAAGGAAATCTGAAACCTATCTCAGAAAGATCATCTGTTTTCCTTCTTGCAACATGGATTTGACCCTTGCACCAGCCAAACCAAACAAACCTTCAACTCTGAACATGACATCCTTTAGAGCAAAGAGTTGCCACTATATTTTTAGTGGCCACATTCAAGCTTGGAGCATCCCTGAGAAATAACTTTTAAATATCGGATCATTTCTGGATAACTACGGGAATGCAGGTGTTGCTCATGACTTCCAGGCAGCCTTGGGTGAGTTCAGGTCCATTCTTATGTAGCATTTGTTCCTAGGGGGCAAATGAAGAATTTTTGTGGGATCAGCTAACTTTTTCAGGCACTCACAGTCATCAACTAAATTCCCCCCACACACACACACACACACATGCCTTACTACTCTAAAAAACAAACATTAGAGCAAACCAGAAAGCTGTCTATAATGCAATGATGATCGGTGGCTGTCATTCCATCTTATTTTAATCAGGTTCATATGTAGAGGTGAGAGGGAGCTATGACATAGATATGGACACATCCAGAATTTGAATTGACGGAGTTATTGAAAATAGTTCTGATCAACCTGATAAATTCTACTTGACTGACTGCCTAACTTGACCCTCAGAGCAAGCAGGGATAAGATTTGCAGTCGAACCCAGTGAGTTTTCCTTGTGGATGGGGGGCAAAGAATAAAGGGATCATCTTGGAGAGCTGATATGGGAGCATGGCTTTGGCAGCTACACCACCATCAGGCTGCATGTCCTTTCTAGCACCTTTCTCTGAAGGTCGGAAGGGGATTTATGAGCATTAATAACCCAGCACACAAGGCAGAGTGCAGATAGCTTTATCCCTGTTTTTCAGCAAATGAGGACTTGCAAAGGTCATTCTGTAAGCTTGGCAGAACTGGAGGTGGGGGGAGATTTTTTTTTAGCTTCCAGATTAATGGTTTTTCACTAGACCATATTACCTGCCAGAGGATGCGGTAAAACAACCAAAACAAGAAATAGTCTTGAAAACCAATGCATGAAGGGGGAAAGGATTGTTTACACTGCAACTGATGCAAAGTCCACATCTGGGCTTTTAAGGGAAGGTCCTGCAGCCCCAGGTGCCTTTTCACACAGAGTGGGAAAAGTAAACTCTATTTTACACCTCCGGGTTTTACAAGCTCCCACATCCAGCAGCATGCTGGACCAGCATTATAGACTAAGTAAACACGTGGCTTACCTCCCAAGGTCTTTTCCCTGCTTCTGTTATCACTGGCAACTGATCCTAAGTATCGTAAGGCTGTAGCAAAGTGGGAAATTTTCACACGGGTTTGGCCTTTTTTTTTTCCCTCCCCACTTTGTGAAACTGCTTATGTTGGGCTTTATTTCATGGCGAAAGTAATATTCAATAGCTGTTTGCAGATGCTCGTAACATCTGCACCCATTTTGGGTCAATCAGGAAAGAAAAGATCTGCTAAGAGAAATAAGCCGCCCGTGCAAAAATAAAAACAGGAAATATCAGCTGCATAACAAGCCGTTACTGAAGTCCCAGAAAGGCTGCAAGTTCTGGCAAAGGCTCAAAGTGGACACGAGCCACAAGAGGCAGAGGAAACTGAGACCAAAGTAATGGTGGGCTTAGAACAGAGCTGGGGGCTGGGGGCCTATGGGGGAGGGCCCTTGATGAGCAAAACTTCCCCAAAGGCATAGGAGGTGAAGCCCAGAGATAATATTTAGTTTTCTTTTGACTTGTGGACTGAACATTTATTGTTGTTCCTAAGTCATTTCAGTTGTGTCCAACTCTTTGTGACCCCATTTGGGGTTTTCTTGGCAAAGATCCTGGAGTGGTATGCCCTTTTCTTCTCCAAGTGCAAGTTCAAGATAATGCACTAATCATTTTAGAGATGAGGAAACTGAGGTAAATGGGGTTAAGTGAGTTGTCCAGGGTTACACAGCTAGTAAGTGTCTGAGGACAGATTTGAACTCAGGTCTTCCTGTCTTCAGGACACACTAGTGCTTTATTACCTGCCCCACTTTTTAAAGAAAGTTCAAGTATCAGCAAGCAAGAGGAGGCTTTCCAAATGACCTTCAAAAGTTCAGCTGAGATGCCACATCTTATACGTGTCCTTTCCTGGTTCCCCCAGTTCTTATTCCTATTATTCCAAACCTCTAAAATTACAGTGTGTCTACACTCATACACATGTGTGGGTGGGTGTGTGCTCAGATTGCTACTCCTCCTTGTCGCTCCATCCCTCCCCACAGAGTGGAAGCTCTTTGAAGGCAGGGACTTTTCCTTTGTAACACTGGTGCTTCTCACAATGTCTGGCATGTTCGCTTTTTGGCAAGGCTCAGATTTCACTGGTGTAGGAATTTGCAATAAGGAAAACCCATCTACTTTTGTTCTAGGTTTCTCAGGACCATAAGATTCAGTTCAAATTGAACTAGACTTGGTTGCTCAGGCTAACTTCAATGCCTTCTACTCTATGTTTCTCCCACCTAGGTATTAAGTATGACTGAATGTTACAAATAGCAAAAAAGTTAGTGGAAGAAAGTTCATTTTAAAAAAGCCCTCGACTTTTTAGAACAGAAACAACCAGGGAAAGAAGAGTTGGGACCAGCCTTTAAAAACAGGGAGAGATCACGAGTTTTAACAACTTAAAGAGGAAAAAAAATCCACAGCTAAATTTGTGATGCCTAGTTTTGAGAAGTCTATGGGACAGGGTGAAGAGAAGGGAAAGTACTCCATTAGCGTGTGAAGACATATGTAAAAAGAACTTTGCAATGATAAAATGCTTTGGAAGCAGAAACATAGATTATTGCAGCCTGAGAGATCATAGGATCGTGGATTTAAAGCCAATAGTCAAAAATCATTCAGTAAGCACCTACTATGTGCCAAGAACCGGGGATATAAATTTGAAAAAGAAAAAAAGATGTGAAAGAGATCATTCAAGCTCATGTACTGGATCCTTATATGGGTCAATGAGACTAGCAGATAGCAAAATTCTAATCTCCATAATCCATGCCACTGGTTGCATAGGAGATAGAGAAAGGCCGTGAAGATGGGTCAGTTTGAATCCATCATGACTGATGGAAAAACATCTGGAACATGGAAAAATATTACTATTAGTAACTTTCCACTGTTCTCATCATTGGATCAATTTCATTCCAGAAACACCAACCAACACAAGGCTCACTGCATCATGACAACAATATTCTAAGGGTCTTTGGGGACCTAACCAACAGACCATCCTGAGAAGGAAACCACAACACACATAGGATTTGAAGGATCTTGGGATTGTGGATAATGCACTGATCAGTAAACCATGAGCAAGAGCAGTGCATGAGGGATCCAGGAGAGTTCATGTATCTTTCTGTCTCATGCTCTGGGAGTAGCTTAAAGAAATAGATAAGCCTGTTGAGATCTTCATTCTAAGAAGACAGAATAGACTTCCTTCCTTAGTCTTCAGAGCTAAGAAGTTCATTAGTAGCCTAAAAATGGATTAGCAAATCTACTTTTAATAAAATAGCGTGCTTAGTAAAAATAGTGTTTTGTAGAAAGCTCTTAGGCACTCATGATCTCATGTGATCCTTACAACAGCAGATCCATGTATAAGATATAAAATTAGTCTTTGAAGTCAGAAAGACTTAGGTTCAAGTGGCATCTCAGACACTTTCTGGTTTCTGTGACTCTGGGCAAGTCACAGTCTTTTAGACAACTCTGTAGAATATTTCAATTTTATTAATCTCACCTTTGGTTTTCAGTATTTCTAGTTTGGTATTTGGGGATTTTTAATTTGGTCTTTTTCTAGTTTTTTTTAGTTCCATGCCCAATTCATTGATCTCCTCTTTATCTATTCTATTTATGTAAGCATTTAGAGATTTAAAACTTCCCCTAAGAACTGCTTTGGCTGCATCCCATAAGTTTTGGTATGTTGTCTCATTATTGTCATTCTCTTGAATGAAGTTATTGATTGTTTCTGTGAATGAAGATATTGATTGTTTCTATGATTTGTTGTTTGACCCATTCATTCTTCAGAATTATATTATTTAGTTTTCAATTAATTTTTAGTCTATCTTTCCATGGCCCTTTATTATACATAACTTTATTTCATCATGATCTGAAAAGGATGCACTTAATATTTCTGCCTTTCTGCATTGGATTGTGAGATTTTTATGCTCTAGTACGTGGTCAGTTTTTGTGTAAGTACCATGTACAGGTGAGAAAAAAAGTATATTCCTTTCTATCTCCATTCAATTTTCTCCAGAGATCTACCATATATAGCTTTTCTAAAATTCTATTCACCTCCTTAACTTCTTTCTTGTCTATTTTGTGGTTAGATTTATCCAGTTCAGAGAGGGAGAGGTTGAGGTCCTGCCACTAGTATAGTTTTGCTGTCTATTTATTCCTATAACTCCCTGAACTTCTCTTCTAAGAATTTGAATGCTGTACCACTTGGTGCATATATGTTTAGTAATGATACTACTTCATTGTGTATGGTACCTTTTAGCAGGATGCATTTTCCTTCCTTATCTCTTTTAATAAGATCTATTTTTGCTTTTGTTTTGTCTAAGATCAGGATTGCTACCCCTTTTTTTTTTACTTCAGGTGAAGCATAATATATTCTGCTTAACTCTGTAGAATATATATTGAGAGAGAGAGAGAGAGAGAGAGAGAGAGAGAGAGAGAGAGAGAGTCAGAGAACCTATATTCTTCTAGTCACTGATTTTGCTACCTGTGTGAACCAGAGCACTATTTAACCTTTTGGGGGCCTCAGCATTCTAATTTATAAAATGAGGGAGTCAGCAAACTATACCTGAGTATCAAATTTGACCCACCGACTAAGAATGGTTTTTACATTTTAAAAAATCTACTTTAAAAATGCTAAAACCATTCTTAGTTCAGGGGTATACAGAAACAGATGGGAACCAAATCTGCTCTAGTTTGCTGACTCCTGGGCTAAATGTTCTTCAAAGCCCCTTGTAGCCATAAATCTATTGTCCTATTGACAACCCTGTGAGTCAGGTAGTGAAAGTACCATGATAGTCTCTTATTTGTTTATTTTTTGGCAAGGCAGTTGGGGTTAAGTGACTTGCCCCAGAGTTACACAGCTAGTAAATATCGAGTGTCTGAGGCTGGATTTGAACTCAGGTCCTTCTGACTCCAGAACCAGTGTTCTGTCCACTGAGCCACCTAGCTGCCCCTCACGATAGCCTTTTGAAAAGTGAGGCATTTGAGGCTCGTAGACAGGCATTAAATAACTTGTACGATGTCACATACTAGCAAGTGGCCAAACAGAGATTCTAAACCAGGTCTAAGTCAAGTCTTCTGACTCCAAACACAGTATTCTTTCACCCTCACCAACCGAATTTCTTTCTACTCCTATGCTTTCCCTGATATCTATGAGTTTGCAAGAGTTGTGGTTAGTGCATACACCTGGAACGTCTTCCTTTTTTTTTTCTGTCAGCCTTAGGAAACGGTCACATTTGACCACAAACTTCCTTTTGAAACTCTCCTCCTTCTCCTCGTGTTTTAAAACAAAGACCCAATATTTCTTCTGCTGTATGGCTGCAAACACTCCAAAGTCTCCAAAGAATTCAAATTGAGGCGCATCCAAGGGGCAAAAGAGAAGTTCATTGTGGACCTGAACAGGCTGCAACACATAATTAAAAAAAAAAAAAGGAATTGCAAAAGGGAAATGGGAGGGAGGAAGGATATCATTAAAAATAATGTGTGATGGAAAAAATGAAGATGAGCTATTTCTATGGTAAGAGTAAGGGATAAATGATAAAAAAAATAGTAATAGCCCATGTGATCCATTGTCATTCTTACGTTATCAAGAGAAAGCAAGGAGGGCTCCGCCTTTTTGAGTATTCCTCTGGAAGGACATGGGCAATAGGTTTCCAAGGCAGTCAGTCAATAAACATTTAAGAAGTATTTACTATGTACCAGATACTGGGCTAGATACTATTACAGGCACTAGTAGATACCTACTATGTGTCAGACACTGGTGATAGGTGGACACATATGGCTTGTATCAAGTATCATTAGAGGGAACATTAAAGTGGATGAGAGGACAGATCCTTTTGCCCATCTTGGTGCCGGAGCAATGAAATTCCATGACGTCTACCATTATCATCAGCTAAGGTTGAAAAGGAGGAGCTTAATGAAGTTCAAGGACACTGTGGCAGGCACTGGAGATGCAAAGTCAGCAGCAACACAGTAGCCCTCTGTCTGTTCACATTCTTCCACATAGATGTCTCAAAGGGCTTGCAGAGAACAACTTTCAACTTTCCTTTTTTTTCTTTTCAGATCTCAAAAAGAGTCGATGTGACTGTCAATGAATAGTCTTGCCTCTGGCCAGGTCAGTCGGACCATGAACCTGATAAAAAAAAAGGCTTGAGAGTCAGTATTGACATGTGGTCTCCATCAACAATGCTGATGACGTTCCCAGACTTCCTTGACTTTTAAAAGGTGATTGGGGTCCCTGAGTCCTTTTAGTTGGCTCACAGATAACTTTCCCAAAACTTTCCCAAGGAGTGAAGATGACTGATCTGGGAAGCTGCTAATAAGATCACAGGCCAGCGGCACTGATAGGGTAATTGGCGGGATGGTTTGGTTTGGTTTTGTTATGTTTTGTAGGCCAACAGAAGAACAGCTAAAGCTGCATCTAAGGATATTTGGTGCTTTGGGCAGGCAAGAGACAGAAAGCAAAGCTGGGCTTCTGCTTATTTCAACAATAGTTGTCAGAATTCACTTTCTTCAGGCATTAACATAATCTGTTCCAGAGACACCTGTCCAATCTCTAGTTCCTTTGGTAAATAAGACTGGGCACAGATCCAACTAGTACACAGAGGAAATCCATCATCTCCTAATGGGGCAAGAAAATTATAGCATTCAACATGATTGTGATGTTAATTCTTCAAAAATCTTTGTGATTTTGGTAGTCTGTAGAGGAAAGATCATTGCACTGCAAGGTAAGAGACTGAGATTCTAGTCCCAACAACTGCACAAGTTAGCTCTGTGAACTGGGTCTAGTGCTTAACCTTTCAGGGCCTCAGTTTCCTCATCTGTCAAATAAGAGGACTGGGTGCCATGAAGGTCCTTTCCAGATGTACTCTTGACAAGCCAAAGGACTAGCATTGCATCTTCGGATGAGAAGGCCTGGGTTCAAATCTTGGCTCTGTCACTTATTTCCCATATAACCCTAGGCAAGCAATTTCCCTTTTCCAGGCCTCAGTTTCTATATCTGTAAGGTAAGAGGATTGGAATTAAGTACAATGAAACAAGCATTAGCTCTATAGACAAAGGGCTCAGGTTCAAATGGCATTTCAGATGTTTTTATCTGTGACTATACAAATTCCTTAATTTCCCTGGTCTCCTTATCGTAATCCTTATCTATAGCATAAATATGTTCACCCTCACTCCATGCTCTGTGTTAGGCTGTGGGGACCTAAAGATGAAAATGAAAGATTCTGGGCTCTCAAAAGTTTACCTTGTATCAGGAAAGACAACACATTCTTAAGTAAGCACAGACATGAGATACCCAACATGACAAAAAGGCAAATGAGGGAAGGAAGGGGGCCAAGATTTAGGAGGGATCAGGAAAAGCCTTGTGCAAGAGAGAATTGGCATTATAAGAAGCAGAGGTACTAGGAAATGATCTAGAATTAAAATAGATAACAATTTCTAGAATTAAAACAAGGAAGAATAAGCCAAAATAATTATTTTGGTTCTGCTAGCCTTCTCTAAATATAAATATATATATAAATATATATATAAACTGTGCTGTGAGCTTTGGGGGGGGGCAAGAAGAGAACAACCAATTTTTAAGTGCCTACTATGTGCCCAGCACTGTGCTAAGCATTTTCAAGACAATTTCATTTGTTGATGAGGAATGCATTCTAACAAACAGGGCCTACCATAAAACTCTACCAGACTGGGTAGGGAAATGTGAGCTATTCTTCCTGCTCCCCACTTCCTCATGAAGCACCCAGCTATCCTCTGAAAGTACGTAGTTCAAGTACTGGGATTTATTGAGCTGCCAATATTTTCTCATGACCCCTTCCTCTTTGGCAGTAAATTTGTTCCTGCAACATACAATAATGAAAGTAGGAACACTCACCCCACTTGGATGGCATATCTTGGCATTTCTACCTCCAAAACATCTCCCCCATCCCTCCCTTTCCCTCCACCCACACAACCTCCATTCTCTTTCAGGGCTTCATCACCTCTCACCTATTACAAGACACTCCCAGTTGGGCTATTACAACAGGGCTTCCACTCCCTCTCTTTCTCCAAACCACCCTACACCCCACCCACACAGCTGTCAAAGTGATTTTCCTGAAGTGAAGGTCTGTCTCATATCACACTTCCACTTAATAAACTCCAATGATTCCCAAGATCTCTGGGAGCAAACAAACTTTTTTTTTTCATTTAAAGACTTTCTTAAACTACGTTACTCCATTCATGTACTCTATAGTCACCAAGTCAAATCAAGTATTTATTAAGAACCTACTATGTGCCAGAAACTGGGAGTACCGAGAAAGGCACAAAGAGTCCCTCTGTTCGATTCAGACTGACCGATGGTCTTCCTCTTCCTCATCCAGCACGCTCCATTTACAGTCTCTATTCCTTAGACTCCTTCAAAATTGAACTCTGAAACAGCTTCTACATGAAATCTTCCCAGATCCCTACAGCTCCTAGTGCCCTCCCCTACCATACTGCCTCATGGCTGCTCTTTGAATACATTTTCTATATACCAGAATTGTTGCTGCTGCTGTTGCTGAGTTATTGAAGTGGTGTCTGACTCTCCATGCATGACCCCATTTGGGGTTTTCTTGGCCAAGATACTGGAATGGTTTGTACAGTTCCTGTACGTTGTACAGGAAACTGAGGCAAACAGGGTAAAGTGACTTGCCCAGTGTCACACAATTAGTAAGTGAGATCAAATTTGAACTCAGGTCTTCCTGACTGGCACTCTGTGAATATTGGCACCACCTAGCTACCCTATATACCAATACATGTACTTGTTTTCTCCCTAAACCAAATTCTGAGTATCTTGAGAGCAGGAAAGCCCTCTCTTGCAGTTTTTTCACTTAGCACGGTGCTGGGCACAAAGTGAACTCTTAATGAGTACTTGCTGAATGGTTGCTATTGTAGGCAATAAATGACTTCGAGAAGTCAGGAAACACACCATTGGCCTTTCTTTTCTTCAAACAGAGGAATGACGATCTTGTTCCTGAACTCCACTAGAAACAAATCTTTTCCAGTTACATTTAGGTTTTTACTCTATGCCTAGTTTCCCAACATTCTTTAGTAAAAAATATATGTATATCTGCCTAAGATTTTGATGGTAATAATAGCTGGATTGAATTCTTCCTCCACTTGGTTACATGTTTCAGTGGAAAGCACATTGTATCTGCCATCAGAGGACCTGGGTTCAAATCATGCACTGCTATCTATCACTTGTATAAACTTAGACAAACTTCCACCTTAACCTCTTTGGGCCTCAGTTTCCCTACCTTGAAAATTAATGTTTTGACCTACAGCTTCAAATCTGATGTATTTCTGAAGATTTGCTTTTTTGCCTTTGTTTGTATCCCTGATGCTTAGCACAGTGCCTGGAACATCGTAGGTGCTTAATTAATGCTAACTGACTGATTGACCATCTAAAAGAAAGAAACAATCATTCTAAGGGACTGCATACATGAAACTTTAGACCTAGAAGACCTTAGAGATTATCTAGACCTGCCTCCTCATTTTACAGATGAATAAACTGAGGCAAAGAGAAAGCGACTTGCCTATAACTAATAAATAGAAATTCTAAGCTAGAACCCTCACGGTCCTGACTTCCTACTGCATGAATTTATGCAATCACTTGTTTTTTATTGGACCTCAGATTTTTTTATCTATTAAATTTGGGACTTGCTCTGGATAAAAACAACAACAATATTTATATTGCACTTAACTGTGTTCCAGGAACCATGCTAAGCACTTTTCAACTTTACAACAACCATGGGAGTGCTATTATTATTGTTATTATGATCTCCATTTTACAGATAAGGAAACTGAGGCAAACATCAGCCAACGTCACACAGCTGGACAGCGTCTGAGGCTGGATTTGAATTCAGGTTTTCTTGACTCTAGGCCTGGCACTTAATCCACTATACCATCTGCCTGTCCCTTAAATGAGCTCTAAGGTCCCTTCCAACTTTATCCTAAGACCTTGAAGTTAAGCTTCTATTATTTTACTTACTTCTAGGGCCATTCCTGATCAGGAATAGCTAGGATTTATTTAACAACCACCATGAATAAAATATAACTAACCATCTAGAAAACAAAGGCTTTGCCCTCTAGTAATGTCCAGTATATTAAGACATATATAGATAATCTTCTCTGTGCCAAGCTAGAAAAGGGAGGGTGATTTGGTATGCAAATTGGCTTCCATATGACCTCTGTACCTCATTTCCCTCAGTCTTAACAGGATGTTATTTCTTTAAGAATACCAACACGGAAAGACCACAAAGAAATGGGAAGGAAAATAGACATCTTCATGCAGACTTATTTCTGGTTGAACTCCCATACTATGTACACCACTGCCAACCCCCATATTGTTTCTGGAGAAAGTATAATATAAAATACGCCCCTTTATATGATGGAGGATAAGGTCTGTAACCAAACCACCAAATAGCTATTTCTTCAGGAATTCCTAGTGACGAAGGAGCTAGCCAAAAAAAAAAAAGATGATCCAGTCATGTGTCTGGCCAAATTATGGCCCCACTACTTGGGCAGCAAGGTAACCCCATGTTGTGTTATGAGACCAGTTTCCAGACTTCATTACTAATGGCATTTGTGAGACATCAAGACAGATTTCATAAAATGCAGTCAAGAAAAGGTAACATTTGAATTATCTGGATACATGCCCAACTGCCAGGATTTCACTCTACCTGTATCCTGACCACCTTCTTTCAGTCTTATTCATTCACTATCAGGAAGTTAGGTTTTAGAAGTTCCTGCTTTATTGGGTTTTTCCCCCTTTTCCTCACTATTTTGGGAACAGTTCTGCAAATGTATGCTGCTGTAATAGCTGAAGATGCAAATTAAATAAATGCACATGCATTTCCACGCAGTAGAGAAATAAGATGCAACTTTGTTCTTCAAAGTTCTCATGAAGACAATTAATCCATGATGCCTCTTATTTATGTAATGCCCCCCCCAATTCCCCAACTCCCATTATTATTAGAGGCTGATTCCCCAGAAGGTGACTGACTTATTCTCCCCTCAGTGTCCTAGGGGTAAACCTGAGGGGCTGGGGTTTCTTTCTTTTTTTTTTTTACTTTTTTTTCGGTAGGCAATGGGGATAAGTGACTTGCCCAAGGTTACACAGCTAGTAAATATCAAGTGTCTGAGGCCAGATTTGAACTCGGGTCCTCCTGACTCCAGGACCAATGGTCTATCCACTGTGCCACCTA